AATAGAGAAAGCAGTATGTGCACAGGCAGGAGGCATAAAGAAACTACTATCTTTGCCATTTTTGCTGTAAATCTAAAACTTTTTTAAAAAGTAAAGTCTATTACTTCTTAAAAAATTTTTTTAGGCTTTCTGTCAGTTGCGGAGGAAATGAATCCTACCCCCCCCACACACACACACACACACATTAGTCTTCTCTGTGCTTTCAGGTGTTTTACTCATTTAAATCCTTTGGTCTCTCCTGCACTTTCCGTTTTGTCCACCAGGGAGAGTCTTCTGCTCTTACTTAAAGCCTTGATTGCCTCCTCTGCACAGGTCAGCTATTGAGCGCAGGAAGTGTGGCTGGTCAGAATTGAGTTGTGCTTAAGCACAAATTATACACCAAATATTGAAAAATTAGTACAAAGCGTGGAATGTAAAATATCTTAATAAACATAATAAATGGGTTATATGTTGAAAGATACTATTAATATTAATTCTGCCTATTTGTTTTTAGATTTTTAAAAATGTGGCCACTAAAAATTTTTTAAATTGTATATATGACTCACTTTACATTTCTACTGGACAGCACTGGTTTAGAGGCTCCCTCCCAATGCCAAACTCTAAGGTAGGTCTGCAGAACCCTAGGTATCCCAGGGAACCCAGTCTGAATACCATTTGCTTGACCTGACTCATGAAGAAACTGAGGCCCAGATCAGCCAACAACTTTCCCAAAGTTATCCAAGTGATGGAATCTTGAGTTTAGATTAGAACCCAGGTGTCCTATACCTGGTTTTTTCCTCCTCTATTATGGAAGTCCTTAAATGCCACATAAGGTCATAGGCATAAGACCCTCCGCTGGGCTGTCGAGGTCCTTTATCAAGAAATGTCACCACCTCAGGTCTCTCCCTGTTCCCTTCCACAGGTCTGCACAGCCAAGGGGCTGCTCCCCGCCGCATCCTATGCCCATCCCGTGAGCATTTCTCTGCTTCCTGCTGCCAATCCCAGCCCCTGCTTTAGGCCTCTATCTGGTGCTCCCTCCACAGCGCCAACAGCTGGACTTGAGACTCTGAAGACAAAGGGTGGTTACCCTTTGTCTTAAACCACCCTCCTGATGTGTCCAAACCCAGGGGGTTGCGGGTAGGGGGAGCATAGTGGCTCTTGCTGGAATAAGTCGCATTTAGCTGGGATGATGAAGAAACAACCAGATAGACTTGCCTCAGGCCAACCGCGTCACCAACCCGCACTGTCACCACCGAGAGCTCACGTAGGCCACAGGCACAGCCTGCGGCAGGGTGACCGGTGATCATGTGGACAGTGATTCACATGGGAACTGAAAGCACCCCTCACTGGGGTGACTTCTCTAAAGAGGACACAGGAGTCAGCAGTGAGGGCACTGGAGATCCCCCGCACACACACCTGTGCCATAGCCCAGCAGGATTGCAGCATCTCAGCTCAGCAATTGTGTCCCTAGTGGTCAGGGCCGAGGCCCAGAACACGTGTGTGGGGGTCTGTCCAGGTGAGAAGGTCGGGATGCTGCTTGTTTCTCCTCGTCGTGGAGGCCCCATGCAAATGGCAGCCAAGGGTCTCAGCCGCTCTCCCTAGCCCTGGATTTCTGGGGAGGAGCTGGTGGTCTGGGGCCTGAGTGTGGCAGGGTTGCTTGGGCCATCACTGCTCCATGCCTGCAGCCTCATCTCTCCCTCTTCTTGGGCTAAATTAGAGAACTGCTGAGTCATGGACTAACAGAACCTGTCTATGAGTCAGCAGTCACAAGATGAGGGTGCTCTTCCCAGTTCCAGCTGTGTCACTTTGGGCTAGTCACTGTATGTATCTGAGCCTCAGCTTCTCACTTGTAATTACTTATTACGCTTTTTAAAATTCCTTTAAAACTAAGTAGTTTAGCCTGGCTGCCTTGGCTCAGAGGTTGAGCATCGACCTATGAACCAAGAGATCACAGTTAGATTCCTGGTCAGGGCACATGCCCGGGTTGTGGGCTCAATCCCCAGTGGGGGAGCGTGTAGGAGGTAGCTGAGTAATGATTTTCTCTCATCATT